GAATAAGGTATATTTTTTGTGTCTATTTTTAAAAGTGGTTTCTTCATGCAGAATTGTTATGTTCTTAAAATGTGTTAATATTGGTTTTATAAAATGTTTTTATTAAATGCGTTTTAAAACTTTTTTAAAAGTAACTATAAAATAATTGATATCTTATTAATTTACTAAATATAACACATATACAGCTGGAAAACTGTTTGTCTGCTTTCCTTCTAAGGCTTCGAGTGTACTGTATTTTATTTTCGACTTTGAGTCAATGTATAACCCGATGAATTTGTTTCCTAAATTCATATGTTATTTTGCGGTGCGTTGAGCCGCGCGGGTTCACTAGTAGTTCTCTATTAGGCCTCGGGTACGATACGAGCGGCGAGCGGCAACCTGAGCGGCACGTAAGCGGCGGTGGTGGCTACGATACAAGCGGCACTTTTATAACGCTCATGAAATTTCCCAAGTTTTATAAGTTAGTTTAGTATTAAATAGTAAACTATGCTTACCTGCAAGACGTATTGCAACTTTGGTTGCTATCTGACAATTGTTTGCCTTTAAAGAAAAACTTAGTTTTTAGAAAAACCTTAACCATAATTTTTTTCCATACTTTTCTGGTGACTGAAGTGTTTTTAAACTTCCTTGCTGGTCATTCCACAAACATTACCTGGGCTGCACCTCACGTATTGACTCGTATCGCATGTTTGCTGATGTTTCCCTGTCATTTTAGGCCGAACAAAAGCATGACTCACCTGAGCGGCGAGCGGCGTTTTCGCGAAAATCGGTTTTGACTTGGAACCTTGAGCGGCGCTGAGCGGTGCCGCTCACCGCCGCTCGCCGCTCAGACGTATCGTGGCCACCCTCAACAAATTTACACGCAACCAAATGAGACCCGATGTCAGAGCGGCGCCGCTCATGCCGCTCGCCGCTCACCGCTCGCCGCTCGCCGCTCGTATCGTACCCGGGGCCTAAGACATATGAATTGCTATGGAATTTGCTGTTGGCTCCCGTCGTGGTCAATCGTCATACTCTAAATCCAATATGAGCGGTTGAGATCTGACCCTTCCGCACGACCAAATGTACCCAGTCACACTCGAACTGTCCATAATGTAATAGAATTTGACTATATTTCGTCCACTTTACTTACAAAGACAGTTTTAGAAGTTTAAAGTCGATATTAGAAGAAATGTTACAGTTATTGACAAAATTCTCTCACCCCGGGTCGTTCAACTAATCGCCCTCCCTCCTTTAACGCCCTCTCCCATAATTGCATTCGCATTGAGTTTAGTTTTCCCCAGAAACATTTGCTTATCGTATTATCACAATAAGTAATAAAATGTTGTATTGAAATTATACCTTTTCCAAGGTAATATAGTTAAACCTACCCTGGCATTTCAATCAATTTCTAACGGCCACCATGGCATTTTAATTAATAATCATAAACCTAGAGTGGTACTATTCGTAAAATTTTTTTTTATTTAGTCAAAAAAGGACCGGATAATTGACCTATGATAACACCAATTTCCATTTAAATCAATGCATACGGCTGACATAAATTATTCCTGTCATTGTAACATTCAATTACAAACAAAACATAGACTCGTAACCATAATACAGAAACAATTCTGTGCAACCATAATAAACAAAAAACCTTAAAAATTACTATAAATAACATTAGTAGGTTAGTGTAGCGTTATATAGGTTATGCAAATTTCAATAATTATTCTACAAAATGTCAATACACCAATGCAGTTTCACACCGCTGTTCTGATGTTGTTCGGCTAAGTTCGGCTAATTTCGGACACCATCGTTTGTCAAGGTTATATCCCCACTGCTCAAGTATTGTTGGTGTTATCATACCCGCTTAATAATTATAGTTCAAACGGTGTTACGATACAATTGTCTTCCTCTTAAGGCCTCTATTAGCCGTGAGCAACACGTGGCGCACCCGCTATCTCCGCGTCCCGCCATCTCCGTGTACCGCTATCTCCGAATTTCAGAGTGACCCCTATAATCCTCGGTTACTTCCTGCGTTAAGACTTTCCGTTCAAACCTAACCTAACCTAACTTAACTTAACTTAACCTAACCTAACCTAACCTAACCTAACCTGACCTAACCTAACCTAACCCACGGGTTAAATTTTCATCAAATCTTCCATCCACGGGGCTTCGCAGCCGTGGATGCAATGACAGCTAACAACGCAGTCAGTGACTGGATTATAAGGGTCACTCAAGAATTCGGAGATGGCGGGACAGATTTGGGTTCGGAGATAGTGGGAGCACACGGATTTGACTGCATGCCCCACCTGAGACGGCAGAGGAGCTCGACCAGCAAGTCCTGGACCTGTCAACGCTGCTGCAGGACACTGTGGTTGCCGCCAGCTCTGACGTTGACCCGAGGGCCCCCCCACCACTTCCCCAGGGGCTGCGGGAGGAGATCGCCCTGCGACGTCGCCTGAGGAGGGCGTACCAACAGTCCCGCTGCCCTCGAGAGAAGGCGGACTTCAACCGGCAGGCCAGGAGGTGCTCCCGACTGCTGGCTGAGCATCGGTCCCAGGAGTGGGAGGACTTCGTCGAGGGACAGGCTGACACCAACGACGGGATCTGGAAGATCGCCAAGGCTCTGCGCGGCACGAAGACCCACAACAGGCCGCTGCATGGGGGACGCGGGCTCGTCTACTCGCCCGAAGACCGTGCAGATACCTTCGCAGACTCGCTGGAAGACCAGTTTTCCCCACACCCGGACGTCTACGACGAGGACTTCTGTGAGGTTGTTGACGACTTCGTAGAGACCTACGAGCCGGACTCCGACGACGAGGACATCCCCCACGTGACCGTCAGCGAGGTGAAGGGCCACATCGCTCGACTCCGTCCGAAGAAGGCCCCTGGACCGGACTCCCTCGGGACTCCAGCACTGAAGAACCTGCCGGCTTGGGTGATTGTTGTGATCACCTGTCTCTTCAACTCCTGCGTGAGGCTGGCCCACTTCCCCGACACCTGGAAGTTGGCGAACGTCATCCTCATCCCCAAGCCCGGCAAGGACCACATCTTCCCCGAGAACCACAGGCCGATCTCCCTCCTGCCTGTGCTCTCCAAGATGCTGGAGCGGATCATCCTGGCGAGATTCCCCGAGGAGTTCTTCTCTTCGATCAGGACTGAGCAGTACGGCTTCAGGCGGGGCCACTCCACCACCCTCCAGCTGCGGCGGGTCCTCAACACCATCGCTGGAGCGATGGAACGGAAGCACCACTCGACCTCAGTCCTGATCGACGTGAGCAAAGCCTTCGACCGGGTCTGGCACGAGGGGCTTCTCTACAAGCTGGCGTCCTCCCCTCTACCCGGCTCGATCTACAGGCTCGTCAAGAGCTACCTGACCGCTCGCCGCTTCAAGGTCTCCGTTGGACGGGCGACTTCCACACCACGGCCAGTCTCTTCGGGTGTGCCACAGGGGTCGGTTCTCGGGCCGATACTCTACCTGTGGTACACCAACGACATGCCCCTGGCGCCGAGAGTGCAACTCTCGCTCTATGCAGATGATGCGCTCTTCACTGCCACCTCCGCCAACCTGAGGATGTCCAGGGTGTATGTCCAGCGACAGCTGGACCTGTTGCTGCCGTGGCTGACGAAGTGGCGAGTCAAAGTCAACGCTGACAAGAGTGAGGCCATCTCCTTCACGAGGTCGAGGAGGCAGGACGATGGTCAACACCTCCACCTAGACGGGGCCGACATCCCATGGAAGCGCCGGGTGAAGTACCTCGGCGTCCTGCTGGATCAGCGACTCACCCTGACTCCCCACGTCGAGAGGGTCTGCGACCTCGCCAGGAAAGGTCTTGGCGCCATCCGCCCGCTGCTCAGGTCACGGAAGTTGTCGACGGCTGCAAGAGTCCGACTCTACACGGCCCTGCTTCGGCCTGTCCTCACGTACGCAGCCCCTGCATGGTACCACCTCACCTGCAGAACCGCTAGACGGAGGCTGCTCGTCGTCCAGAGCAAGGCTCTTCGGCAGGCGACAGATTCACCCTGGTACGTGAGGAACTCCGTCATCAGGGACTCCACAGCAGTGACAACTCTCCGAGAATTCGTCGACGGCCTTCGAGCGAGACTTGAAGAGACGGCGGATGACTCTCCGTGGGAACACATCAGGGACCTGGTCGCTGAGGATGTTCCCCAGCTTCGCCCCCGGATCGACGACTAACTCCCAGAACGACGTTGACGTCTACAGGTAGCTGAGCTACCAGGGCTTGGACCCACAGCAGACCGGAAGTATATGCTCCCAGCGAGCAGGCACTTCCCCCAGACGTGGCGCTAGTCGCCACAATCATATACACTTGGACTTGGACCTCTACACGTCCGACACCGGCGGCTCCACTAGCTGCGCCACATGTTGCTCACGGCTAATAGGGGCCTTAGACCCAGGTGGTCCTTTTTGCCGGTGGCCCACAACTCATTTAGTTGTGACAGGTTTCCAGCAGGGTGCCGCCCTTCAATTAACTGTCACCTTTGTTAGTCGCGTGCCCTCCCCTTATCCTTATCTCCCCTCGTTCCACTTTCTCTTTATTGTTGTTATAATATCTTACACCCTATTTCATATTTCATATGTGACCAAATAAATTTACCTTAACGACAATTAATATAACACCGTTATATATGAAAATGTAATAGGTAGTTAATGGTGCTTTAAACGATTCTTTATTTACAAGTCAACATCTATTACAATACAATAATTAAATTTAAACCAATCAATTCGTGAAAAAAACCTGTATATACAATAAAATCTTCATCTGTGTATAAATAAACAATGCTTAAATTATGCTAATATTATGCTGATACATAATTATCTATTGCGATGACTTTTTATTCCCCAACCCTGTGTCTTTGTCTTGCGAAGTTATAAAAGGTGTGATACATTGTTACATAGAATTACAAATGGGTCTAGCAATTTTAGTTGAAGAGTTCAACGTCTGTTTGATCTGATATTTCAACTTTTTAATTCTTTTTCAAATTTTACATTATTCGGCCCGTCTACACCTAAGTTCTAAACCAATTCCAAATTTAACTTCTTAAATTAAAGCTAGCACCAGTGCATCTAGTGAATTTATGTCAACTTCAAATGTAAGTAACACTCTACTTAACATCAGCCTCGTCCATTGCATTAGCTGTAGTAGGTCCTTATAAACGATGATTTCAAAGACTCATAACGAAAGATTCAGTATATATTTACAACTAAATCAGCCCATAACTTAATTCATAGTATAGAATTGTAACAGAAATATATCACAGTACAATACTTTCAAAGTTACTAATGAATACTATGGCTCAGCCAAATCACATGGGTGAACAATTTCCTGTTAAGATGAAATCAACCAGTTAAGATGAAAATACAAATAGATCTATACTACAGAAAAGTAAATGATTGAAATATAACAATAAGGAATACTTTTTCATAGGCCTATATGTATATGCAGATAAAAGGCTCATATGTGTACAAGCCTTCAACAGGATATTACCATAAGGCCATGCCATTTTCATCCTCATGACCTACAAACAATTAGCGTACAGTCATTAGGCTATCACAAACATAAGGTCTGTTATAATCACTTAAATACAAATTGTATTGCACATATTTCTCATTGCGTTATATTTAGGTTAAATACCCTAGGACCAGGAACAAAATCACAATCCTAGCGTAAGTAGGCTACTTTGTATTAGGATCGTGCCTAATCAATTACAGTTAGGTTATTGTTTTCTCGCTCCAATAGTATACAATGCACTCATAGCAATAAGAGAATATATTACTTTTTACAACACATTCACAGTTACAAGTTCTCATACCTCTAGGCCTACTACTATGGCTAACCCAGACAGCACACTTCATCCCAGGGACATCCCATAGTAGTCCCATATGTCCTGAGAATGTCTCGGGATATGTACGCTAGCCTCAAGATATCCCGCAAAATCCCGGGACGAGTACGAAATCCACAGGATATCCTACAATATACCGTAATGTCCCGGGATTTGTAAGTTAACCTCAGGATATCCTGTAAAGTCCCGGGATATGTACGAATGCCATAGGATATCCCAGAATGTCCCATGACATCCCGGGACATGTACAAAATCCACTGGGTATCCTGTAATGTCCCGGTAACAAACTGAAGAAAAAAACTACTACCTACCACTGATGAAATGTATATCTAAATTTAAATGTTCAACAAGGCCAATATATAATAACTAGGGATCCCGTGCGGCTCAATGAGCCGCCTACTATGAAACATAACGCCAAGGAAAACCTTACGCTTAAATTCTAGTAACTTTAGTTACATCTTAGAGTTATTTGAAAACTTGTTAGAAACTAATTTTAAATATCTCTAATGGCGTCACCAAGGTTCACCTACATCATTTCTGCTCTCGATTTTAACTGGTAACTTCTAATGAATGCTAAACGATCTGCCTCAATTCGAGTTAATATGTTGCAACAAAGTTTTTCCAGCATTGAGAATTATCGAAGAAAACTGTTGCCGTAATGATAACCTTTCTTAAGTAACTAAAGTTGGGCCATTTTATTCCTTTGATTTGAGACATCCCCCGATCAAACGAATTTTCTCCGTAGAGTAACCATTTCATGTGCTCCTTTTTTACCCACAAACTCGGGGCTACCAACTGGACAGCCATAACAATTGCCATAACAACTGGACAGCCTGCTTTGAATAGGCTAAAGCAGCAAACCCATTGAAAGTTGGTTAACGTAATTTTAACAAAATGTTTTGAAATATCTCGATCTGTCAGTGTCTGAAGTAAACATTTCTTGCATGCATTCATTTGATCTGACATTTAGGCAAGTTTCTTTCCCACCGTGACAACACTATGAGCTTCGTATATTTTTTCACTTCCAAAGTAAGTTGCATAGCAGAACTGGCAAATATTATTCTTCTCACAAAGTGAATGTGTATCTGGATGGGTATCTGTTAGACCACACCTCTCTTTTTCTACTCTCCTCATACGCACAAAATATCTTATTATCAATTGTGTCCTACTACCGTGTTCAATATTTCTTCTTTGAACTTGAGGCATTTTCTGTTCTTCCAACAAAACTGATTTGAACTGTTTAACTTGGTCTTAACCTACTAAATATTACAAACATCAATATTTACTCCCAAAAAGCTACAGCTTCTTATAAACAGCTGGTTTTTTTTTTTATTTGTTCTATGTATTTCTTATGGGGAAAACCCGACCTTTGAGTGGACCTCACGCTCTTAAGGGCAGGAATTTTAGAATTCTAAAACCTTATTGCAAAACTACATGTTGAGACGAATCTTTTGACACCTCAAACGTTGAAATTGGTCCACAAATAAGGGAGGAGTTGCGTTAACAAAAAACGGCTTCACGTATTACATATATAGATTTGTTTTATTCACTAGCGCTTTCAGAAACTAGGTTTCCATCTTCAGGCTGTGTTTACACTAGTACAAAAAGTAAATATTTACTTAATAAATTCATTTTAAACAAAGTTAAAACAGATGATTTAAAGGATAGCCTATTTTAAAAATAAAAAATAATATTAGAAAAATTAATCTTTTGAATTTTGGATATTTTACAGTGTTGTTCTTGATGTAATTATTTTCAGTAATTCCAAGTTTATAATTGGGCCGTCTTCATTGCTTAACAAATAATTTTGGTCTGTTTTTTTTCTATAAAATAAGATTCCCACGCATTAAGGTGTTGAGGTTTTATAATTTGTTTTAAAAGTTTAAGGTTTCCCAAAAATTGAAAATATGTCTTGTTAATACTGTGGCTAGCAAAGGGCTGACTTTACTTTACTGACATATTACTACCACTGAGTTCAGGAAAACTAGAGTTCTATCATAGTTGTGTGAAACGTGTATTTAATTCTAACTTTAAATTAATAAAATTATCTAAAACTAATTTTAATCATATAACAATCAATTATTATAACAGTGCTAATCTAATAGTTATCAAATAATCTATATTCAAATACCAGTATCCTCTCTAACTACCAGAAAAAAATTCAACTACTTGAGGCCTAAACAGATTAACGGAATCTACTGAAGTATCAAAAATATTTCAAGTATTCATTGCGACCATTGCAACTGTCGACTACTCTTTGACCACTTGAAAACACTCATAATCAACAAGCGCAGATAGCTCAGGAGGTAAGGTAACGCTCATAACGCGAACGCACCAGATTCGAGACCCGTCTGGGCCAAAAACTTTTTTCGTTTTTTTCTTCAAAATTTGTGTTTATCAACTATTCAATCAATTTACTCAACTGATAATTAAGTTTTTCATACTATATTATTTTGCGTTTTTTATGTTCAGGCCCAGACCACACTTTATCCCAGGGACATCCCATAGTAGTCCCATATGTCCTGAGAATGTCCTGAGGACTACCCTGGGATGACCTCGGATGTCCCACGGATATGCTGTGAGCTTATCCTTAGGACATCCCCGGGCGGGGACATTACGCATTCCTGTGGATATCCTGGGATATCCCAGGTTGACCATAGGACTACTATGGGATATCTTGCATATCCTGTCGCAATATCCGTGGGATATCCTGAGGAGAAAGTGTGCTCTCTGGGAAGCAAAGTCAGATAGGGGAACAATTTCCTTATACGAAATCAAATAGATTGATCTAAACGTACTATATCATCTAAACAACAATAAACTATAAGAATAAAAATTCATGTTACACATTTCATAGCCCAATATATCTACCTTACTTGTAGGCTCAAATGTTTACCTTCAAACTAAACGCTATAGTAATAGGTCCAGGGTCCAGTGCAATAGAAACATAATTATATAACTGATATCGATTGCCCTACCGTCAGTATCATATCACAACCATAAGTTTCGTTAGAGTGTAGCCTAGTAAGTTATACACCATTTGTATTGTACACGACTCTCACTCTGCTATAAATGGAATCACATGGATTTCTCTAATGAAATAATGTATTACAACAATCATTAGCATACCCTAAATTGCCTAATTACTTATAGGCCTAAACCCACTAAATTTTGGTTATGTTATATATCCAACCTATTTACTTCTGCCAACTGTAGGCTATTACTCTTATCCCAGTCTATTACATGTTTCCCAGATGTATCACACTGGTTTAAATCTCCTTTTAATCTCCATTAGGTAACAAATTACCTTGTCAAGCCTATTATTTTCTAGTATCATTGTATAGCCTATTCATTAATGTCCAATAGTTGACCTCACAGTTGCATATTATATTTTCTCACTAACAAATATTTATAGGCTTCTAACTTATAATTGCGTTAACTTTTTTAGGCCTACTGTGGAAATAGCCTATTTAATTGTTACTTTGTAAATATTTGCATGATGTATGTTTGCAGGTCAGAACTACTCTCGATCAACAAGTAATTGAATTTATTCAAGAATACCTCCCTTCACCTTATGAATTTTGGCCCCAGCATATTGCTAATGCACTCTCCTATCATAGTCTTTCTAACATTGATCACAAAATTCAAAATGTAGTAGCCACCTTCTTTCTGGTAAACGGTGTACCCCTTCGCGTTGGCCAAGAGTTGTTGTCGAGATGCAAATGTTCACCATCCCAAATATCAGAATTTAACCGATGTTGGGATTACGCAAATCAATCCAGTCACTACTTCTCATATGATCTCATTAGAAGGATGTATGTTGACATGACTGGTGCTCCCTGACGACCACAGACCCACTCTTCTGGATCTAGTACTAGGAAGGGAGTTTTATTAGTTTGAGATTCAATGCAAATGTGTAATCCAAATGTTGTCCACTTTCAGCCACAACCAGCTGTTCCGCCCAACCAGCCAGGGGCAGATTTCATGGACGACCAACAGTTTGCTGAAGTGGCACTAGCCTCCGAAGCAGCTGTCGATGAAGTTCTCCGTCAAGACCGTGAGTCCCGTTGCCATTGCAATACAATTCACAGCTCCATTTCCATTATATGCGCTCGTGTGAGAGAGCCCAGATAGCACAAAATGTGAAAACAACAAAAAATAGTGAAAATGTAAAAGTGAAAAAACAAATATTCTTTTCACGTGGAAATTACGTAAAAGTGAAAAATTAGTTAAATTAAAAACGTGATTATCACGTATAAATTTCACCTTTTAAGAATTTTTTAATTTTCATGTGAACGTCCCCTGGAACTACAAAGAAAACCTCCCAGATAGCAAGGATCTTTGATTCAAGGTTAACTTTTCCATACAATTTGCCTTCACAAGGAGTAGTATGTTTTCTGTGATCAGGGTAATCGGGGACGCGGAAAGGTCGCCCCCGGAAACATCACCCCCCTACGTCATATTGACGTCAGAGACCGGGGGTTATGTTTCCGGCCGCGGACACTCAATTTCAGTTGCAGCATGCACTCGTCGATATGACGATTTATTTTAGAGTTTGCGTATTAATTAGATAATTCTATCCACTTATCATATACAATTACCAGATTTTCTAATTACAATATATGTTAACCGGATACGTTACCCGCGATCGTTTTCAAAATGCACACCCCAGAAAGGTCCCCCCTGCCATGATCACCCCCGGTATACCTGCTGAAGGGCTTGGGCTCGTGACTCGAGCCAGCTATTGTTCAAAAGGGTGGAGTCTGTCCCATATTACCACCGCTCGACTGAACTCTCGTGAATGTGAAGGATTTTAACTTGCATGAATGGGAAGGATTTTGTATTATTACGCAAATTTTGTCGATATTAAGATAAATACAAATTAGCACTTCGATATTGTGCTTTCTCTAGACATTTCCCGTTAATTTTATACATCAAATGTATAAATCTTACTACAGTAATATTATAAATGTGAAATTTTGTGTGTTTGTTTGTTTGTTTGTTTGTCTGAAGTTCAATCACGCATTAACTACTGGACGGAATTGGCTGAAATTGACATGATAATAGCTCACATTCCCGAATAACATTTATGCATATTCTTATTTCGAAAACCCTTTCGGGCTCCGCCCCAGTGGCTCTGTATTTCCCCATGTTAACCTTATGAGTATTCATATTTAAAGGGAATTAAAGAATTTAGTCAGCTGTTACAACTAACAAAGTTGGTTCTATGATATGCAAAAGCATTAAAAAGTTATAAGATTTACCAACAGGCTGCAGCACTATTATTTTTGTCATGAATAAAAACAGCTATTGAACTAAGCAGCAACGAACAACTGTGATACGCAATGAGAACTGTATAAGTAGGATTGTTAACAGTTATGTTTGTTTTTAATTTCATGAATAATTTGTGATAATTTACAAATTTATTTTAATTTTTTTGTCTATTGTTTAGGTGAAGTGGTAGAACATTATGGCTATCGTAGATGTGTAATACTATAGTATACTGTAAATTTAAGTAAGCAAATTTTATCAAACTGTGTCCTCCCCCATTGCAAACGCAAAGCTCGAGTATAACTTTACTGCAATAAGCATTTTATACTTATATGCCAACCCCGTACGAAGGACGGATACTCTGGTAGTTACATATAGTTTTTTTCCGTCAACGTACAAAATGTATTTGAAACACGTGGAAATGAAATAAAATGTTTATAGTAATATAAGTAAATAATTAAGTAAGGAATCAACTCGTAATATGAGCATGCTTTAACCACGCAACATCATAATACAGTACACACTTGACAAACATATTTTCACATTAATTTCCTAATTCTAAAATTTTAAACATTGACCAATAAATGTTGTATTTAATATCCATTTAAAAAGATTATCTGGATTTTATGGTTAAATAAACGCATTGAGAATATTCCTGATTTGATATTGGGGAATGACTCTTTCCCGTAAAAATAGTTTAGAAAGTAAATGTTGGTTGGTTAGTTTCTTCAGAAATAAACGGAAAATAGTTCACACTGTTTACGTTTGCGTTGACGGGAAACAAGCAACAGTGTCACATTCACTTTATTTCATGATTTCACACTGCTGATTTTAAATAACTAAATTGACATTGAAGTAGTTAAGTTTATTAAATGAACGGTTGCCCATTGTTTTGAAAAGTTACACATTTAAATCTACCTGTCGTTCGCAGAATATTTAATACGTAGAACTTAAAAGTTTGCAAGAGAACATAATAATTCTAAGTATAGTATCCACTATTTTCAGAGTATTGATTAATAATGGAATTCGTCTGTAATTTGGAGACTATTAATTCGTAGAATACAACTGTATTTATAGCGGGAAGTATTTTTTTTTTTAAATAGCTTAGACTTCCCCACTTCAGGTATCCCTCCCAAAAATACCAGAACCAAATACGTGTGTTTAACATAGTTAAGGAAAAGTTTAATTATAAATGTAGTTATAGTTAGGCTATTTACTAAATAATAAATCCAACTAAAATGTAGCTTGCCAATAGCTAGTATTTTTAAAGTAAGTTTCATCTTTTTACTATAATTCGTACATATAATTCATAATTATCAGTGTTATCTAGCCTATGTACATAATTAATTTGGAAGGGGTTAGTTTGTGAACAGAACCCCTCATAGAGTTTTAAACAGATTTTGAAAATGTTAATGCAATTTGTAAAAAGTAAGATCCAATCACAGGGTGTTCCAAAAATGGAGGGTTAAGGATCGAATCTTGAATTATCCTTTGGTCAACATAAGGATTTTTAGTATACACTAAAAATCAAACTAGTATCAAATGTCAGATAGCATATATCTATATTATTAATACGCTACGTGAAAATGTGTGAATGTTTACATTATGATCAGCTGAATAATTAAATAAGCTGTTAATATTTTTTCACAACACTATGATGTTTTTGGCTGTATTACATACGTTAATTGGTGGCTGAAAGTTACGTTTTGCTGGCCATGCCAGCTGTCATCGTAATTTGGGGACCGAGCAGGTTTTACAGCCCGGGGCTGCAAAATCAGCTGTCCGCTTACTCACTTAAAACATGATTGCATTTTAAATACACAATCAAAATCCATAGCATTGCATTAGAATTGTGTTATTGTCACCGTTGCCTAGCAACTATTTATATTCATTTTTGCTGATTCCTCAAATTATTTCTTTAGATAAACTTAAAGTTGTAGTTGTGTTGACTAACTTGACTTCGTCTCGAACTTAAATCTATCTCGAGCCGGCAAACCTCATTTTCGGCCCTAGGTACGAAATATACTATTGTTGCAATCTAAGGAAAAGTCACTGTGTTACAAAAGACTTGGTTGAAGTGAAATGTTTACTATTTGGATTTGTGTTTTCGTAAATATTACAATGGAAAAAAGCGAGAAAGCCTGGTCAATTTAATATACAAAAAAATTAAAATTAACCCTATGCCGATTATATCATTGAAAGAGCCGATTTGCTAACTATGGAAACATAGGAAATTTATAGAACACTAGCTGTAACCCGCGGGCTTTGCTCCGTTTAACTTCTTAATTTTCAAGATTATCTCGTTCGCATGGCTCAATCACGTCCTGGTTGAAGTTTGTTCGCTACGCTCACTCAACATTAGGTTGGAGCTCGTTCGCTGCGCTCACTTGCCTTCAGGTTAGCTCGTTCGCTACGCTAACTCGCCTCCAGGTTGAAGTTCGTTCGCTACGCTCACTCACCTTTTGGTTGCAAATTAGCTGTTGTCATAAATGTAAAAGAAATAATAGTGCTGCACCCTGTTGGTAATCCTTGTAACTTAAGCTATTGAACATCATAGAACAGAACCAACTTGTTTAATTGAAACAGCTGTTAAGATTCAATAATTCCATTTCTCATAAGGTTTACATGGGAAACTCCAGAACCACTGGGGCGGAGCCCGAAAGGATTTTTGAAATAAGAATATCGATGGTTATAAGCACAATAGTTGTATGTCCATTTTCGTAAACTTTCGGAAACCGCAAAAACAAAGTTTGTATTATGGGGGAAACTTAAACTAAAACTGTTAAATTTTTTAAATGAATAAATTTTATTGGCCACATTTATTAAAAATGCATCTACATAAATAGTTTTATCTTTGTTCAAGCCACATTTTTACAAATAATTTGTAAATCAAACCATGTTGGACATACTATATGTGTGCACTTATGAACGCGCAGATTTATGGACATGCTACGAGTGTGCAATACAAAAACTGCCCCTAGATGGTTTTAGTAAGGAATGAAAACTTTAAACAACTGTTATGATGGGCACCCCTGGCTAAAAAAATTTGAAATAAATAACACATAATCTTCTGTGATCACTTGGGTTTTGAGGAATTTATAAAAGTATGTTCAAAATGGTCATGTCTAAAAAATGTTTTAAATTGATGTTTAAATCAAACCAGTAGTTTTAAGTTTTAGTTTTTTTTTTTTAGTTTTTTTAGTTTTTCACTGACTCACAGATGTAAAAATCTTTTATACTTTGTATACTTTCATACTTTAACAAAACTATTCAGAAAACAAAACATCAACTTTCTTGGCTGTTATCTAGGCTTTATTCAACAATATTTTTTTTTCTTTATAATTGGTTAATTTTTAATGTTGGCATAAAAAACTATTACTCCCTCAGGTGACCGTCCTTGATGCCCAATGTACTATTTTGTTTTGGTTTTATGTGTTACAAAATAGCGTAAAAATATGTTTTAAAACACTATATTTTCAGATTTTTTCCCGGGGAAGGCCCCGAACCCCTGGAGGTTCGTTGGACCTATATTTTGCACCCCTCTGTTCCAAATCCTGCGGGCGCCCATGACTGTTATTGTCTTACATTGTAGACTACTTTTATCTTTTATTTTTAACATTTAAAAAATAAAATTGCTTGGCCTACCAGCTATTAGAAACTCAAACACAAATAGGCCTAAACGAAACATTAAACAAAGCACGAAATAAATCAGGTAGTGCCTTTTGTAAAATGGTACCAATACAGTTTAATTAGTGAGTCGGTGGCTCAGTCGGTAGCGTCGCGGAC